ATCTCCAGGAAGTGTTGACTCCAGATACAGTTTTTCATCTTTCTTATTTTGCCTAGAACAGATGCATCTGAGCCACGTGAGGGTGTGTTTTGTGGTTCATCTAGGCCTCGGACGTGGCGGAGCCTGCAACTGCCACTCGTCCTCTCTTCGTTCCTCTGCATCGGCGTCGTGATAGTGGTTTTATAAAGGCCAGATCTGGCCGGTGCGCAGTGCAAGTTCTCAGCCCAACCCGGAGAATTAGCAAGCAGTGTTTCGCTTAAAGATCTTTTAGTGAAATTTTATTGGATTTTAGTTAACATTTGTAAGACCCTGTGGACCCCCGAACACACGACACACACACACACAGGCACAGCACAACTCACAGACACACGGACACACACCACAGTCATGGTCCCCGCTGCTGCTGCAGGCGCAGAAACAAGCGTGCGTAGCCGAGGAAAAAAGCTGGTTCTGTAAGACTATCCACAGAGCACACGCTGCGCGGAAGGAGTGTGTGTGGTGTGCGTTGTTGGCCTTTCACAACACCCAAGTCACCTTACAGGTTTAAAAACAATTATAATACATATAAATTACAAAGAAAATACAGTGATAGCTAAATAAATGAATGCAGAGAGGTGAAAACAGTTGGGGCCAGAGTATTTATAGCAAGTAAGATTTTAAATGTTTTGTGAGTGAGCTGTAAAATTAGGTCAATGGGTGCCATTTTTTTTTGAGTTTTTTTTTTTTTTTGCATGGTTATAAGTGAGTTCCAGAGTGCTAGTGCAGAAGCATAACGAAGCCCGAGCACCCATTAGGTAAGTGAGAGAAGTGAGAAGCAGCGCGTAGGATGAGAAACGGATGAAGCTGATGTATATTGTGGTAGGCATACTGGAAGATATGGGGGCCTGGTTATGGAGAGCTTTGAGATGAACAGTAGCGAGTTTCCATTGACACTTTCATGTAATGTGTTCTACTACCCAGATTGACACCTTGAAACAAAAATCTTACTTGCTGTAGAATACTCTGGGCCCCAACTGTTTTACTCTCTGCATCATTTATTTAGCTACACTGTATGTTCTTTGGTAAATTTTATATGTATTTATATTGTTTGTGTTACCTGTAAGGTGACCTTGGTGTTGTGAAAGGCGGCCAAAAATAAAAATTTATATGTATTATTATTCATAGAGCAATTTCTAGTAATAAATTAATGTGCTAAAGGTATGTGAATACAACATCACAAATGTGCCTTTCAGTCACACAGACATTTTGAGGATATCAAATCCGACGCAGAGGGAATATTGGACTTTGATTTTGCTTGCCTCTTAAGGTGTTTCTAGAATCTCTTTATTCATAGTTCTTCAGCCATGTGGATGGACAACATCTGTGGCCTGGCTGAGTTGCATCTTTACAATATTCAACACTGGAAAAAATTCCAACAAGATTGCCACACATGTTTATAGCATTGTGCAAGGGCTCAAAGCACTTACTTTCTCACAGATTAGTTACTGATGCCAGCTCTTTGAATTTATCTGTTACTTGAAGTTATTACCGTATTTTCAACACTACAAGGACGTGAGTGGCTGTTCTACCTAAAGGCACCATTGCATGTACATGAAGGCATGTTTCAGCTCTTTGGTACATTGTACTAAATAAACAGACATTACTTTTAAATGAATGCTCCAGGGGGAAAGTTACTTTCGTTACAAACTCCAGATTTATTACATACAACATAAATATATTTAAGAACATATTTATTTTTAAATATATATATGATTCTAGGCTATATATAGCTCATAAATGGAAATTTTACAGGTTTACGCCCTGTCAACAGATGACCCATAGAACCTCCAAGTGGCAATGGACCCTCTTAATCAACCTTCCTAAAGAACCTCTAAAACATTATCAATGTTCCACTTAAACCTCCTAAATAATCTCAAAGAACTATTATCCAATGCCTTGAAGCTTCTGCCTTTTCCAATAAACCATAGAACCATCCTTATGGGAACTCATAGGACCTTCGTGTCCAGTAGAACCTCTAGGAAATGGACTACTAGATCTACTAGTATTACAGGAACCTCATTTAATCTCCTCAGAACCCTCACAACCCCAAACTGTATAGAGCATAATAGATTAGCTCTATAATAGGTCCCCTTTGATAATTAATAACAGTTCACAGATTCACTTTTTTTAAATTGTCAAATATAAATTTTATTCAAAACGTATTAGTAAGTACAGTTAATGTAACATTTATCATTTTAGTGTCAAGAAGTTAAATAAACAATTGCATGAAAGTGTGTTAAAATTTTTTTTAAAAGTTATTCCTTCAGTGCAGTGATAGGAAGACTCGATTAAAACAAGGACTACAGTGACCCTTCAGTGGCTCCACACTGAAAGTACACACAATATGTTGACATGCTTTATTAAACTGGAACTTTATATTTACATAAAGTGCATCCAAAAGCATAAGGCCACGGTCCATATCTTTGTATTAGTGCAAATTACAAACATCTTCCGTATCCTCAGTGTTATCGCCCACACTGCGTCTTTCTGCCTCTAATCTCCCTTCGCTTTTGATCTTCTTATCTTTATATGAAATGCTCAAAGCATGCATATATATTATAATATGTAATTCACATTTATCATTATTGCAATATCTTGTGCTGACTAGGTGCTTAACTTATACTGATAAGTATTTTTCTGTTTTTAATGTAACTTTTCCACTGATGGTATGGGTGTGTTATGAGGCGCATTGGCTATGACATCATTAATATCAGCTGGATAGGTCACTGACAATGGTTTGATCAGAGTTGACTTTCAAGTCGCAGCTCATATAAATAAGACAACCCACTACCGTTAGAGGGAGCGGACTGGAAGAAACATCATTGGGCATTTAAAAGTTGTATGATGGGGTCATTGTAGGCTTATTTAATAGCTGTAGAGGTCTACCTCTTTTAATAAAAGGTCCAGTCGTAGTTGACATTTTTAGGAAGCCTTCTCTTCTGTCAGAAATGGAAATTTAATTATTCATAGGTATGTTTTCATTATTGTTCACTGTTATTGACCTAAAATTTAATAATGGATTTTTTGTTTATTTACTTTTTTATCTTCTATTTTTTATTATCTTTTTATTAATGCCCTTGGTTGAAAATTTTCTGGTAGGCTCTCTGCGATCAACATTTTATTATTATTATTATTCATAGAGCGCAATGTTCTAGTAAATAAATTAATGTGCTAAATATATCAACATCACAAATGTGCCTTTCAGTCACACAGACATTTTTAGCACCCATTCAAACCACCAGAGAAAAATGGACAGTTTTTTCTTCCCTAAGTGTTTTAGAATCTCTTTATTATAGTTCTTCAGCCATGTGGATGGACAACATCTGTGGCCTGGCTGAGTGCATCTTTACAACTATTCACACTGGAAAAATTCCCACACAGATTCCCACACATGTTTATAGCATTGTGCAAGGCTCAAAGCACTTACTTTCTCACAGATTAGTTTACTGATGCCAGCTTTTGAATTTATCTTTACTTGAGTATACCGTATTTCAACATACAGTGAGTGGCTTGTTCTACCTAAAGGACCATTGCATGTACATGAAGGCATGTTTCAGCTCATGTACTAAAGAAACAGAAATACTTTAATAATC